CATTGTCTGCCTCTGTGCATGTATCAAGTTCTTTCCCCTTTCCCCAGATACAAAGCAAAAACTCTCCTCTGCATTGAAAATTCACAACTTCAATGATTTTCAAAGTATGTGATCTGTGGTGTCCGGTGTTACTCAGTAAGTTGAAATTCAGGTTTGCTGTAAAAAAGACAGGCTTGCTGAGACAGAAAACTGAGGAAAGCACTGGGCTGAGTTTTTTGTGCGGCCACAAGTACCCTGTGCACAGCCAGACACGTCTGGAAGTGTCTTCAACAAATATTTTCCAGAAGTTTTCACTTTATTTTTTTTTTCTACATCTCTATCTTATTCCAAGTTTTTCCACAATGAGGATCAGTTTTACAGACACAATTAAGTTTTGTATGTGTCTTTTTTATTAAATCCTAGGACTGTTGAATTTATCAGTAGCAAATGGGGGCCTCTCAGGCCAAATCTGGCACAATACACATTTGAATTGGCAGAGTAAGTGGTTTTCTTCTAAATTCTGGATTATTGTACATCTTTTTGGGAGAATAGAATTACCGTTCGATCCCTCAATTCCACTCAGACTCTGGTAGATTCTGGTCTAGTGGTAAGGAGCTGTGCTGCAATCCCAAAGGCACATGGTTTAAATCCACCAGTTGCTCTGCAGGAGAAGGATGGGCAATCTCCCCCTGCGTGATTTCCTGCCTCTGAAAAACTGCCCCGAGGGTCAGCTATAAGTCGGTTTTGATTCCAAGCATGCAACAATGGCTTCTTTTCATTTTTTCTTTTATTTTTTGAAATTAATTATAATACACTGCTTCTTTTCTTAAAAAAGTATTCCTCTCTTTTACTTTGAAGGGGCGCTGGTGGTGTGGTCTGTAGAGACCTGTGCTGCTAGCTGAGAAGCCACAGCTCTCTGGAGGTTGGGACCCACCGCCTCCTCTGAGGAAGATAATTGGTCAGTCTTCTCTCGTGCTATTTATAGCTTCCAAAAACCTACTGTAAGGTCATCAATGAGTGGTTCTGACTCAACAGTAGTGAGTTTCAGTGGAACTGCTGGATCAAATGATATTTTTATTGCCAGTTAAGGAAGTGCCAGACTTCTTTCCACAGCGGTTGCAGCAAGTGACATTCCTACCAGCACTATTTGAGAGTTCTGATCTCTCTACATTCTCACAAGCATTTTTTTGTTTGCTGTCTCCCTGAACTTTGCTATTGTTGCAGGGTGAGCTATCAGATGACTGATTTGCCTCTCTCTAGTCCTATTGTCTCCATCATGATAGACTGAGCAAAAAAGATTGAGATTGCTAATAATTTCAGATTGCTCAGTTCCACAATCAACATTGTTGGAACCAACAGTCAGGAGATCAAAAGATGAATTGCATTAGGAATTTCTACTGTTAGAGACTTCTCCAGAGTGCCAAAGAGCAATGATGTCAATCTAGAGACTACGGTGCACCTAATGCAGATCATAGTCCTCACAATTACTTGCTATGCATCAGAGAGTTGGACAATGATCAAAGGTGACAGAAGGATTGATACCTTTGAGTTATGGTGCTGGAGAAAAGTATTGAACATCCCGTGGACTGCCAAGAGAACAAACAGATCTGTCCCGCAGGGGACAAAACCAAGCTGCTCCTTGGAGGCAAGGAATTTTAAGCTCTATTTCACATATTTTTGGCATGTTGCCAAGGAGGGGCTGGTCCTTGAAAAGGGAAATCATGCTTGGAAAAGTGGAGGAACAATGCAGGTGAGGAAAATTCTCCATTAAATGGATTGACACAGTGACTGGGGTACTGGGGACAGGTGTGTTGGAGACTGTGAGATTGAGCATATTGTTGAGACATTGAGATTGAGACTGTGAGGATAGAGCAGGGTTCAGAGCTGTTCTCATTATGAGTTGCAAGCGACTTGACGGCATGTAACAACAGTTGTCCATGGCACATGATGACAACAACAACAATTAATGAGGGAGTTTTGATGGCCTAGTATAAGAAGCTGCTCTGAGATCCCAAAGGCACATGATTAGAATCTATCAGCTGCTCTGTGGGAGAAAGATGAGCAATCGCCTCCTGTGTGCTTACTGCCTCTGAATGCCCACTGGAGGGTCAACTATGAGTTGGTTCCAATGCAATAGTACACAACAATAGTTAATAGGAAATCAAAAGACTAATTGCACTGGTCCAGTGGTCAATGTCAAGAAGACAAAGATTCTCACCACTGGACCAATTGGCAGCATCAGGATGGATGGTGAGATTGAGATTGTTCACAGCTTTAGTTTGCTTTGCTCCACAGTCAACACTCTTGGCACCAGTAGCCAGGAAATTAAGACGCATTGCGATAGGAAAGTCTGCTCTTAGGGACCTCTCCAGAGTACTGAAGAGGAATGGTGTGTCTCTCTAGAGACTAAGGTGCGTCTGATACAGGCCATGGTCTTCGCAATCACTTGTTATGTATCAGAGAGTTGGACAATGACCAAGAAGGACAAAAGGAGAATTGATGCCTTTGAGCTGTGGTGCTGGAGAAGAGTATTGAGAATACCATGGACTGCTAGGAAAACAAACAGATTTATCCTGGAAAGGGTTAAACTGGGTGGCTCCTTGGAGGCAAGGATACTGAGGCTCCGTCTAACATACTTTGGACATGTTGTGAGGAGAGACCGGTCCTTGGAGAAGAACATTATGCTTGGGAGGGTGGAGGGACGGCACAGGAGGGGAAGGCCCTCTATGAGATGGAATGATTCAGTGACTGGGATAATCAGGATGGGAGTGTCAGAGACAATGCGATTTGCACAGGACAGAGCAGAGTTTAGGGCTGTTGTACATAGGGTTGCTATGAGTCGCAAGCGACTCAATGGCACATAACAACAACAACAAAGTTGCACTGGTAAAAATCTTGTTAAGGATTTCTTCAGAGTGCTAAACAGCAATGATGTCAATCTAAAGACTAAGGTGCTCCCACTCCAAAACTTGATCATCCCAATCTGAAAGCTGGACAGTGACTAGGAATGACAGAAGAAGAATTGCTTTAGATTATGATGCTGGAGAAGAACACTGAACATACAATGGACTGCCAAGAGAACTAATTTCTGTCCTGGATAAAGTGAAATCAGGTTGTTCCTGGGAAGCAAAGATGGTTTTGAAGCTCTGTCTCACATATTTTGGGACCAGCTATCAGGAAGGACTGGAGAAGGGCATCATGCTTGGGAGGGTAGAAGGACAGTATAAGAAAGGAAGACTCTGGATGAGATGGATCAACACAGTAACTGTGGCAAATGGTGTCAGGTGTGTTGAAGATGGTGAAGTTGGTTCAAAATAGAACAAAGTTCAGAGCTATTCTTCATAGGGTCGCTATCAATGGTATTTGACTCAGTGGTAGTATCAACAGCACACAACAACAGGTAGTAGTTTTTATTTGCATCTAATAGCTCTCACATCTTAGTAGTAAAGAGTTGTGCTGCCCAATCAAAGGCTCACAGTTGGAGTCCACCAGTTGCTCTATGAGAGAAGGAGAGCAATCTTGCTTTGTGTAATTGTTATTATGTGTCATTGAATCAACTCCAACTCATAGTGACCCTATGCACAATAGCTCTGAACCCTGCTCTATCCTGAGCCAATTTCACTGTCTCTGACACACCTTACCCATTATCCCAATTATTGTATCAATCTTCTCCTGCACTGTCCCTCCTCCCTTCCCTTCCAAGCATGATGTCCTTCTCCAAGGACTGGTCTCTCCTGGCCTCATGGCCAAAGTATGTCAAACAGGGCTTCAAAATCCTTGCATCCAAGGAGTAGCATGGTTTCCCTCTCTCTAGGACAGACCTGTTGGTTCTCTGTCTTTTCATTTCCTGACTGTTGGTGCCAAGAGTGTTGATTGTGGAACCAAGCAAACTGAAATTGTAAACTATCTCAATATCTTCTCTATCTATTATGGTGCTGTCAATAGGCCCAGTGATGAGAATCTTTGTTTTCTTGATGTTAAGCTTCAATCCATACTGCACACTAGTCTTTGACCTTCTACCGCCCCTGAAAACCCACTGGAGGGTCAGCCATGGGTCGTTCGACTCAGACGATAAAACATAACAACCATAGCTAATGATCTTGAGCATTTCTTCATGTGATTGTTGGCCATATGAATGTTATCTTTAGTGAGATGTCTTTTTATGTCCTCTAACCATTTTGCAACTAGGTGTTGGGTTGGTTTTTTTTTACTTTTTCTTGTTGAAGTGTTGAAGTTTTCTATAAATTTTAGGAATTAGTCCCTTTCCAGATGTGCTCTTGCCAAATATCCTCTCCCCAATTCATAGATTCTGTTTTCACTCTTTTTGAGTAGTTTTTTAATGCACACGAGAATTTCATTTTAGGAAGTTAGTTATCTAGTTCATCCTGTGCTGATTGATTATGCATTATCAGATACATTTGATAGTCTTCCTATGTCATGAATATTTATGTAATGGAGAGCCCTGGTTGTTTAGTGATAAGGAGTTGCGGTGTCAACTAAAAGAATAGTGGTTCGAATCCACCAGTTGCTCAGAAAGGGACCCATGAGCAATCTCCTCCAGGAGATTTACAGCTTCTGAAAGGCCGCTAAAAGGTCAGGGATGAGTCAGTTCCGACTCAAGGGCTGACAACAACATTTATGTCACAAATTAGGGTTTCTGATGTTCACCGCTTCGGGCCCAAGAGGAGGTAGTTCTCACCCGCCTCTTTCTCCACTGACCAATTTGCCCTTTTTCCCATCTGTCGCAAAAGACGCAGCTGCACTTAACGGCTGGTGGTGCTTGACGGCCGGAGACCGCGGAGAGGGAGACGGAAGTGGAGGTGACGGCTGCTGCGGCGGCTGCGACCTGGGCCGAGTTGGGCGCCGCGGTC